GCATAATGGTTTTATTGTTATTTTAAGTGAATTAATAACAGTGAGTATACATGATTTATTATTCAGAGTTAATTTCTAATATAATTAGTATTCCTAGATATCACCCACATAAACAAAAACTCTGTTGGAGGTGTTGATAAATTTTAAGGTCTTAAGGCCAAAAGGCTTGGTCTGCGGTTGTGGCTCAGTGACAGAGCGCTTGCCTCTGAGAACTGTGGATGTGATTGATCATTTTTTGAATGACTATTATATGCCAAATGGTGGGCATTTAATATTCACAGATGGGGTATAAAGGAGAAAAGTCAGAGTCCCTGTCCTTAGGGAGCTCACATCTAGGGGAGAGGTTGAAATATCATATGGTTATTGCAGGTGTACGTGCCTCATTACTCAAATGAATGTGCTCAACTGAGGGCCCACAGGGTGGATTCTGGAACTCAGAGCAGGTGTCCTTGTTTCTCGGAGTCCTTCCCGGACACCCCAGGCTGAGGTCAGAGGACAAGGAGGGATCACTGTGGGAGACTTGGGCAGGAAAACACAGTCCAGGCCGTGAGGATGCCTGTTTCACAAAGCCCAAGAGGAGAAAGAGCTGCTCTGCTCAGGAAGAGCAAACGCTTGTTTAACATGGCCGGTGTGTGGACCACACAAGGATTAGCAAGGGAGGAGGAGAAACTCCTTTAAAAACAGAAAACAGGGCCAAGGGTATAGCTCAGTGGTGGAGCATTTGCCTCGGATGCACAACTCCCAGCATGAAAGAAAAGAAGGAGGGAGGGAAGGAAGGAAGGAAAGGAAAATAAGAGAGAGAAAGAGGAAGAGAAAACATGAAAAATAAACAGATGTTGCAAGACCTTTCATTTTTTTCTTTTCTGTTAGCAAATGATGAAAGTTGCCCCATGTCACAGAGGAAATAAGCATCAATGACTCAACAGAGATGACCCATCGAAAGGGAATTGGTCCTATGAAACCTTAAGCTCTCCAAACTAAATCCACATGGTGCCTCGCCCTAGAAAAGCAATTTTCCTCCATGATAAGTAATTTTTATACTTTGTTATTCAAGCAGTCACACATGTGATAGCCTAGAAAGTTCACGGGAACTTTTGAAATAAAGCAGAAAACTGAAAGAAATGTTCTTTTTTTATGATTTACTTT